TCTCTCCCTCGGTCACCTCGGCTGTGTAAGCACGTTGCGTCTTCACGCTCTTTCATAGCAGGTGCCAGGAAGAAGGTGCGAAAACGCGCGAGGTGGAGAAAAAAATAACAGAACCAACCACACGCGCACACGTGCGACGCGTTCGGGACTCGATCCTACGGCTCAGATTGTAGCCGCCTCTGATCTACGGTCGTCGTTCGTTCAATTATTTCAACAGCCATCAACCTTTCTCACTTGTGTTATTACGTGATTTGTATGCTCGTCAAAGCCACCTCGTGTATTTTAGCGAGATAATAAATATAGAATAATGTTCTGAGCCAGAAGATAACTGAATAATTGAGTCGAAGCGTGTTAGTATATTATGTGCAAATTTTGACTCATACTTATGTCTATATGTATATAAGTAATGAAATGACTTCATTCTATTGTTTCGCCCTTTGGACCCATTCAGTCACCAAAAATTAAAAATTGCTAAAATAATTTTTTACTTATGGACAATTAATTGCACAAATAATTGATAAGGTTAATAAAGAATTGTGTTTGTTAGTGTATCACTAACAACTACAACTATAGCATCCCCACGGCGAATATTTTTATGGGATTATCATAAAATATTATCAAATTAAAATCTAATGTCTAGATCATTTTCATATGAACATTAAATAAATAAAGTCCTGCTAGAATTTGTGAAAAGGATGAAAACGGTTTCATTAATCAACTTTAAAGTCATTATAAAGTACTAGTAGAGAAAAGAGACTGTAATTTTAATTGAATGATGATTTGAGAGAAGATGATTATAAGAGAATAAAAAAACTGAAATTTGAAAGTTGAGAGTAAGTATTTTATATTGAGTGAATGATTTTGAAATTTATGAAAATAAAATTAGGTGTAAAAGTGTCTAATTAAAAAAGTTGCTCAAAGATGTAACCACTTTATTATGGAATATAATATATATTGTTTGAATATGCTCATCTATCACTTCATTACTTTTTTTTTTCAACTTAAACATGTAGTATTGTTGGATGTTATTTACCTAATTAAAAAAGCTATTAAAATTTAATTGCTTAGAAATTAAAATATGGTAACACATGATCGGTGGAGTGAAGATGAGGTCAGTTCTAAGTGCCAATGCCAAAATAGTTGTGATATAGGAAAAATACTCTATGCAACATTTTTTTTAAGGCTTTAGTGTGTGTTTAGATTATAGTTGAAAAGTTAAGTTGAGTTGAATTCAATTTTTTAAACTTAAATTTAATTAAAAGTGGGTTTACTTAATTTAATTTATGTTTGGATACTTATATTTTAAAAGTACTTTCATTAATAAAAATTTGTTTGAATAATAATAATTAAAAATACTTTTAAATATATGATTATTGAAATAAATACGAATTTTATAATATAATATAAATACTATTTATTTCATTCTTTCTCATGTAAATTTGAATTGATAATATATTATTAAGAAAAATGATGGAAATATTATAAATTATGTTAAAATATTTTAAAAACAACTGAACAATGCAAGGATCCTATAGAAGAAAAAAATCAAAATCAATATTATAAGTAAAAATAAATAAATAGAATAAGTTAACTCGTTAAGGATCATTTAAGGATCTAATTGGTAAACCAAATATGTCCTTAAAAATTATTTTTGGAGATCGGAGTATATCATTAGAATAATTTGATGTCACAACATATATTTAAAATGTTCTGATATATGTTGCAAATTACATAATTCAAATGGTAGTACTTGTGAAGTTTTTTGTTGGTTAATTAGGCACGAGTCATCAACAGATTAAATATTTAATTTACTTGATTACGGCCTTTACCATTTTATGTTGATTTTTGCCTCACTGTATAGTTGTGTAAAATTTAAAAATTTAAAAGGTGAAGACCTATATATATTGAGCTATCATCGTTCAATTTTCTCCATAATTTCTTGAATGAAATAATATATTATTATTTTGGACTATCGATATTAAAATTTAAATTAAAGAATCAAAACCTATTTATCCATTTTGTTTAAAAATATTTCCCAAGGTCAAAAAAATATTAGCCCCATTTGAAAGCCCAAAATGATGTAATCCACTCGCATGACCCAAACGACACCAAAAAATTATTGGCGTGTAGGAGCAGATGTTAGTTTTAAAATTTACTATTTAGTTTATAGTTTTAGTTTTCTTTCCATATTTTAGTTTTAAAATAAGTTTATTTTAAAAACTTCTTATCTTATTAAAAATCGGTTTAAGATTATATTTATATGATAACAATGATGCTAACAAAATTTCATGAATATGAGACACTAGCTCACAATCAAAGATTAAATTGCGCTCATAGAATTAAATGCTAATTATAACAATGTCAATGATGATATTAGTGTTGGTGGAAGCAATGTTAATGCTAGTATCAGTAGTGATATTGCCAATGATTATGTTAATAGCAAGAATGTTGATAATAACAATGTTATAAGTGGTGGTAACAATGATAGTGATGTTAGTGAAGGTGACAATAGAAATATGTGATAATTGTAATAGTAATACTGTCATAACTGGTTATAATGACAATGTTTTTAGTGTGACTATGGCTATGGTAATGTCAATGTTGGTGATGTCAATGGTGGTATGGAGTCAATAATAGTGGTGATGATTGTAGTGACAATACTAATACTAGTGTCGAAAAAGGTTATTGTCAAATATATTGAAAGGTTATTTTTTTAAAAAATAAAAACTAAAAATTGAATACTTCAATTTTTTTTCTTAATATTAAAAATTTAAGTAAAATCATTTTCAAAAAAAAAAAATCATTTCAATTTCCTTTTTGTCAAACATGTTTTATTTTAAAAATCAAAATTAAAAATCTTGTAACCCTATGAGCAAATCCAATATTATTTTTTGGTTTGTTGAAAAAATATAACTCTTTTCCACCAATCAACCATTATAAAGATAAAATTGTACATTGAATATTAATCCTTAATTAAAGAATTCAAGTTTCGAACTATTTAAACTAATAACTTTTGAAATCCAAAAATAAGAATTAGTTTATAATAGGTTGGGTCATTTGAATTTGAATTTAACCATATCCAACTATTGTCTAACTTTATTATAAAAGTTAACGATATTATTGTATAATAATTTGTTGTTTTCATATTATATAGTATACTTTATTTTGATTCATATTTATTCATTCATTTAATTGTAAAACTTTTGAGCAAAATACAGTTGAAATATAAATTTAAATTTTTATTCTCAATTAGTAATAACACTTTATATGTTAAGATTTTTCTACAATTGTCCCTGAATTGTGATAAAACTCGTTGACCAAAACTTTATTTAAAGTTCGTGACAGGTTATTCCTCAAGCTTTACAATCTGTATCAAGTATCAACAAAGAATCTTTCCAAAAATCCTCTTCTACTCTTGACATAATATTTAAAATTATCACTAATATGAAGTTCAATAAAATAATTAAGAAAAGGTGCAATTTTTTGTGATATCCTAAAGAAAACACTAGAAAATGACTCGAACCAAATAATAACTTCTATAGTAAGAAATTTTAATTATGTTTAGTCCTTCTACTTAACACTTTTAAACTTATAGAATATTTTACTTAAAATAGATTTTTAAATTATTTTATATCTGAAAAATTATGAAAATAAAATACAATCAATAATTTATAAAGTAAATAATTAAAAGATACGTATTTCTCTCATTTTTTTCCACTTTCTCTTTCTTCTCCGGCACATTTCTCCTTCTTCTTCTTCTTCTTTTTCTCTTATTCTTCTCTTCTTCCCGCATCACGCCGGATCGCCGCCTCCTCGTCGGACCGCCCATCATGCCACCGATTGTGTTGCTCTTCTTCTTCTCCTTCTTTTCTTCTTCTTCTTCTTCTTCTCTTTTTCTTTTTCTCCTTTTTTTCTCTTCTTCTCCCTTTCTTAACCCTGTCGCGCGCCTCCTCCGGCGGTCGTGCCTCCTCTGTCGGTCGCGCCCTCCGTCGGACCGCCGCCTCTTCCGCCGGTTGCACCCCTCTTCTCTTCCCTTCTCCCCTTTTCTTTTCTTCCCTTTTCCTCTTTTTTGATTAAAAAATAAATTATTATATTTAAGCTTTTCCTCTTTTTTAATTAAAAAATAATATTATTATATTTAAGCAATTGTTGTTTGTATAAGCAACTATTTTTTTTTGTAGAAGCAACCCAAAATGGTTTTTAAACTTTGATGTCACCTGGGACTTCTTCAATGACAAATTTGTTCAGGGTTTATTGTTTGGGTTAAGAAATTCTCTAAGGATTTGTCATTGAAGATGCACTAATTAAAATAAATTAAGTGTTTTAATATTAGAATAATTTAATTAAATCAATTTATAAAAGTTTTTAAGTTAAACAAAAATGTTAAGGTATGTAAAAAAAATTATAAAACTAAATTTATTTCATTTTCAAAAAAAAAATAATGCACTTTCTTCTCTTATTTTCAAATATACCCTCCGTTCTAAAATATAAAATATCAATAATGAATACTAAAATTTAATTTCTAGTTAGCCTTCCCGACATTAGAAGACAATTTTATTTGTGCTTACTTCACTATGAATTGCAAAGAATTGGTCTTTCGATATAATGAATAACCAAAATCCAAATTAAAATGAAATTTCAGATGTGCAATTCAAATGCTGAACTTTCAAATACAAATACGTAAAAACATATCCTCTATATTTCTCATATGCTTGGACCTTATTTAATTCAGCTATTTCTCATACTCATGGACCTAGTTTAATTCAGGGAGAAATTTCATTAAGTCCTTCTCTGCCAAGTATTTATCAAAAACCGAGAATATGTAAGAGAATCAATTTTAATTCATTGCCAACGATGACATAAAACCAATAGTTAATATTTAATCTAATTACTGACATCAATCGATTGAAAGATACGATGGTTTTCTTAAAGGATATATTTATCATTATTTACAATTGTTTATATTAAAAATACATCGACGTGTAACTTTACATCTTTTATGAGAAGCACTTGATATTTATCTTATAAAATAATGTGAACATAATTTTAGCATTAAGAAAGGGAATAACTACTCCAATTTAATTCTATAAAAAAAACTACTTTAATTTAAATTGGTTTTTCAATGATTAAGAAAAACAGAGGGCCTAATAAGCGAATATATCTTGGCATTAATATAATCTTTATTTTAAAATTAAATATAGCATTTTTTTTAAAAAATATCCTAATTAAAAATGATCACATAATTTAAATTATTCATTATAAATATATTCTATTTGTATTAAACAAATATCTATTAAGCGTTTTAATATAATATAGTTTAATAAAACTAAAATTAATAATTAATAATAAAACACAGAAACTAACTTGTCACCAGAATAAATGCCAAACAAAGCGCAATCTTCGCTTACATAAATTCATCAAACAATCTCGATTTTTTAATCAATTTCATATACTATAATTAAATTCCTACCAACCAAAATAATATTCGCTTGCATTCGTCAAACAGAGCACACAGGTTTTAAAAGCCCAACAAACTTGACCTCAACAGACAGACAAAAGCTACATCTCAATTTCATCTTTTTCAAATTGGTCCAAATCTTGAATTTGTTCTTTATCACAATACACATTTCGCATACCTACATTCATTAAAAATGAGATCTAGAGATTTTAAAGGCACAACAAACTTTACATTAACAGAGAGCCGAAAATAAAGGTAACCCCATTTCCAACGCGGACCGAAATTCTTACACAGCTTCCGAGCACAACAAAAAATACTGAAAGAACAAAACATCTTCAAGCATTTTATACTAATCCAAGTATGGTTTCTACGTCATATATTAAATAAAAAGATCGATAAAAACACCGGCCAAATATCTGCCAAACCAAGCAATTTAAACGGCAATTATAAAGGCGAAAAGCCATACGAAAAAAGCACGGTAGATAATCGGGAAAACATAATACCTATAGACGTTAATAACGAAGTGAGGTCCGAAAGAGTTTCTTCATAATCACTGAACAATGTTATTTAATTAAAAAAGATCAACCACAAAAACAATCCAAATGCCCAATTATCACGTCCAGCAAACTACATTCAAAAGCTATCCGAAATTTGACGAACCCACATTACGAGAGAAATATTATGGGCACCGTGCATCTCCGACACGCCCAAACATTGCTTAGGCTTCAGCAAACCTGAGGTAAAAGTTCATGACACGAATCAGTTCCTATTTGATAATGCAGAACTAAAACGTAAATGAACAAATAAAGCATCAAAATAATAGCAATAGAAGAGATAAAAACACTTACCCAAGCTCAGAAAGCTTTAGATGAGACTCAGCGTAATCCGCGAAGAAGGCATCTTCATCCTGAAATCATTAGCAAATCATAAATATTTGAGCTTATTTGTATCATCAAGTCCATTCTAAAAATCAATGTTATGTGAAATATTGGGGAATATACACACCGCGGCATATTTCTCAACCAGAGGGCGGAATACAGGATCACTCAAAAGAGACTTGTCAGTAGGCAGTTGAATGAGACCTTCCTTCTCACCACTCAACAGCTCCCTGAAACATACAAGGACATCAATAAAAATTGAGAGGAAAAAAAAAAACCAGCATAAAGACAATGCGCGAGTCACAAAAATACTCACTTGAAGTATGAGTTGTCAAAAATCAGAGGATTAGTGGTCCAGGGGCCCTCAAATCCAGAACGCTCCTTGTGACAAGATCCCTACAAAATGTATTAGGCAGAATTAGAGAGTAAGGCCACGATTTTAGATGTTTCAATTGTCATACTATCATCGCAGTGTCATTATGCAATGTGGCATAAACAAAATTCAACAAGAACAAGTTTAAAATCATAACATACAAGGGTGTGACCACCAGATAGAGCAACAATATCCTGGTCACTGAGCCCCATAGCTTTTCCGAACACATCACGCAAATGGTCAGAACCTGCAACAATCAGGATACAAACCTTAAGCCAAACAAACACGACCAATCACAAACATTTCTTGGCATTACAAGACCGGAGTACTAACCCTTAGTTGCGTCAGGCAAGCGACCCTCTGGTGGTGGCTCAGGCTTGTCCTGATCAGAAGAAAAAAAACACAATTATCCTCCAAATAATAACAATAAATCGCCATCACAGTCACAAAAAAAACAGCAAATTAGTGCACCAAAATTCACTTCAATTCAGGGTGCCAAAAATAACAAAACAAGGACCAACAAAGGGCGAAAAAGTATACATAGCAAATCCGGTAGAACAAATCGCATAGGTTTAATAACTAGATTAATAATATTGTGCAAAAAATTGCGTCACAGATTTTAGCACCTTACCACGATAAGGAGAGTTGAATTAAACGATTTGCCAAACAAACACGCAATCACAATAATTCAACACCTCTGTTCATAATTACACAGTACAACCACGCGCTAACACAACTACCGTTTACGGCACGAGTAAAAGAAAACCCATGCATAAAAACACAATCAAATCAGTTCACAAAAGTACGATTACTGCATGTAACATCATTGCATGTTACATATAACATACATAATCAATAAACAGAGAACTAAAAACTCGAAATGATATACCTCTCTTCCCGGATGGAAAGGAATTTCAGGTCCACCAGTGACCTCAACGGCAACAACACCAGCCAACTGCGGTAACATAAATACACCGTTAAGCACACAACCATCAAAAACAAGTAATAACTTCTCTCTTCTCAGATCTAGCATAAAAAAAAATAAAAAATAAATAAAAAGTAAACGATAAGAAAAAAGAAATCCGAACGAGAGATTCTGACCTGATAGAAATCGGCGTAGCTCAGGATAGGAAACTCCGCCTTAACCGGCTCCAACAACCTAACAGCGATGTCAAGTCCGTTGTTAGCACCGTGAGCAAGTTCAGCAGGG